GCTACTCCTTAGTTGGAATTTGCATCATGTGGGGCTAATCTGGACGAGTCCAGTTAAAGTAAATGTGCTATTTCATAAAATGTCAACCAGCATTCTGAAGGGTCTAGAGTGGGTATGACGGGCTAACAACAGCTAATAAGCCAGAAATGGCCGTTTCAGACTACTAGCCGCTGTGCGGCTGCTGTTAGGGCCCGAGGAAAGAGACCCAAGGCAGAGAGCGGTGCGGATGAGTTCCGTTAGCGCTCGGTGACCGTTCCTCACGGATTTTGCAATGTGTTCTCGATTTGAAAAAAAACGAAGCATGGATGTGATAATAATTCGCGTGTAGCTCAATTTCCAGATAAATCAGTCGTGTCAACGTGAGAGCTTTTGAGCAAGCCTCTTTACGATCGCCTGTAAAAATGACTACTCAAGTAGTATGGTTTTCTTCTCATTGAATTTCGGCACCTTTATTAATTCGGAGATAGTTGATGGAAAACGCACAAAAATATCATTTCCTTCACTTATTTGGAACTGTTTACGTCTTCTTGAAATTTTATACTTTAAGAAAGGGTGTCTTTCGATTTTGTAAGGATATCTAATTATCAGTTCTTTTTTAAGACTGTGAAGAATCGTACCTGTCCATTTATCAATGTTGTTCACAAACTGTAAAACACGGTCTACGTGCAAAGCAAACTTTTATGAGCACTACGTGACGCCTTCCTTCTTGCGTAGAGAAGTGTTTGATCTTGGACAGCAGCATCAGGTCAGGAAACCCTAAATCCAAGTCTAACGATAAGTCGAGTTCACAATGGTTCAGCAATCGCAAATGTTTCCTTAAACTGACAGATACTCCCGCTTTTTCTTCAGGTATAAAATTTTCCAAAGTCGTAATTTGCTAAGAAACGAGGGCGAGAAATCATGTCTTCGTGCGTGTTCTCTGCAAAATCTATTTGAATTTCGAACGCCATCGAAAATCAAAGAGAAAAATGCAAACTGCTTAGGTCGTCGTTTCTTAGTGTAGTTTTTGCAGGCCGTTGAAAGAAGTTCGTTCAAAAGCCAGCATTCGGACACGAGTGATATATTTCGGGATTATGCTGCCGGCTCGAATCGAAAGCACATTCCGCAATTTTGGTTGACATTTCATAAAGTAGCACAAATCTATTGTAAATAGGTAATACTTTTGACTCAGGCTCGCCTGCCAGGTGAACCTTGTGCGTTCTAAGACAGATCACCCGAATAAGTGGTAGATCAAAAATACGAGAAGTCCTAATGTCACCTTGTATAGGACTAACGGAAAACCGCCTGCTCGCGGACCTCACCGTTTGCACTTTTACATTGTATCCATGGTTGGTTATCCCTATCAGCATCCTTTACTTTGCTGTTCCATATTTTCCGTTCTCCCCGTTAGACCTTTCCCCTAAACCTATTGCGTTGTCTGAGGTGATGTTCTGAGCGATAGTATCACTTATGTTGAGTGCCTAACTGCTACCAACCCCATTTACGCGTAGCTGACGCTTGCTGTTTT